GCAGAAGAAAACAATTGAGTTTTTGACCACAGCTGAATTTAAACTGACCGGACTTCATTCTGTGGATTGATATGATCAGAGCGTCTTTAGCGTCCTCATCCAAAGATGGGAATACTCCCAGAAGCCGTGCAATAATGTAATATAACTGCCATGGAATCCTCAGGGTTCCTTTTTCTTCTGGGAAATGGAACCAGAATATGGTCAGTAGTCCTGGGAGTTAGCAGTTCCTACGGTTCAGCCCAAACAACCATGCAGTTTAGGTGGGGGTGTGTTTCCAATTTTATAGTTTTCAAGGCAACAATTAACGTGTTAAAACTAATTTACCTGGAAAGCATGGGTTGATATAATTGGCCAACACCATGCAATGTTGGAGGAACCAGCATTTTGTTCATTTATTTTTGCGTTGGAACATCAGTGATGCCAACGCAATGGGACTTGTCAATGCAATGAATGAAGGGCGTATTTTGGTTTGAACAGGGCCAGAGCATTAGGTGGTTGACGGTTGTCCTCCAATCAGAAGGTTGGTCGCTGGATCCCAAGCCCCTGCCGTCATCATGTCGATGGGCAAGATACTGAACCGGATATTTCTCCAGATAGCATGGGCATGTTCTTAAATGTGAAGCGCTGTATAAATGCAGTCCATCTTCTAATATTGCCTACATTTGCATTCACAATTTGCTCTTTGTAGCTTGCACCATTTCATACAACCGTTATCTGATTGGTTGCGTTTCGAACAATCAGCGATACAAGAGGTGCAGAGCATGATGCAGAATGTAGCGCTTCTGCCGAGACGTTTTACCGCAATTCATGTGAAAGCAGCTTCAGTCTGTAAACGTGCCTCAACAATGTTCCTGATGAATAGATCAAATCCTCTTTCTGCCAGTCCCTCCCCCTAGAATAAACCCTCCATCTTTCCCTCAGTTTCCTGAAGCTCCTGAATAACTCTGTACCGGTGAAACAACCGTCCCATCGACACGCCTTTCAAAGTTAGTCTTGTTTTATCTCACCTCTCTATGACGGGAGGTCACACCTGTGTGAGGCTCGGTGTGTGATGTCTGTTTGTTACGGGCCCCTCCTCTGCTGACGAGGCCCGGCTGCCCGCTGCAGATAAGAGCGGGAGGATGCATCAACTGTGTGTGTGTGTGTGTGACAAGTTCTACAGCAGGATGTGTCATACACGTCGTCCTGCCAGGGTGTGATGCATAGTGGCTGTGTATGAACCTTACACACACACAAACAATGCATTCTATAGCTGTGTGCTAATCTACTCTCTGTAGGAGATACATTTCGGGGCGGTGTATTTGCTGGACTTGTGAGACCTTCAGGTTCATCAGTTTGTTTCTCTGCATGAATACGTCTCCTAGTTTTTCCCTTACGGTTACATAAAAAAAATACGTAATCAGATTACTGTTACATTTCTAAACATTGGGGATTACTTGTAGGATTACAATGTTAGTAAAGAACAAAGAAGAGCATATAGTGTTTGTTGTAAAAGGATCAGATTTGATGTCAGTACTGTTCTGTAAGCTAATACTTTAAGTGTGAATCTATACGGTATGGAAAGGGATTTCAGAATGTGATTCTGATGTGTTTGTGTCTTCAGATGAGGTGGAGGCGTTCCTCAGTTATGGGAAAACTCTGGATTACCAAGAGAAGCCAAACTACAAGCACCTCAAGGATCTGCTGGCCAGTGTCCACACGGGGGGGCTGGACTTCTCTGTGCCACAAGAACCCGCAGGGGGGTCCACCACCAAGCCAACTAGGGAGAAGGTGAGACAGGAACAGCTTCCATGTGTAAACGTTTTGTGTCTAATATAGTTTTATAGCCTAATATAACAATATACATATACTTCTAAAAGTCAGAGTATACAGTACGAACAGTATATGTATAAACGGAAGGAAAGAAATTGAATGCACCACAGAGCTGGTATAGATATAGACTGTGTAATACAAACTCTATAGACAGAATAAATATGAATACACTGTGGTCGGTCGTTGACACTTGAATAAATATGAGTACGCTATTGGAGATATAACCGTTTTGACGGTTTATAAACAGAATAAGTGACTAAGACCAATGTGCAAAGTCAGTCAAAGGCATCCAGGAGTGTGTGTGGGGTGGGTGCAGGCAGCTGTCATCTTGGTGCATGCAGGTGATAGCAGTGGAGAAAAAGCTCTTCCTGAAACAAAGCCCTAAAGAAGTGCGCATATTTTCGTAGTGGCGCTACATCTTTTGGTTCAGTCTGTGACATCATTGGGTAAAATGACTTTTTCCCATTGATATAAAACTCAATACAAACACTTTATAGCCCTTGTTTTTTTTTTTAAATCATTAGGGTGGACTCCAGAGTTATGTTCCCTCATTTCCTTTGACTGAGCCGAGAGCGGCAGATCGGAGGCGGGGCTTAAGGAACATTCAAGTGCACATGCTCTATTGGCCCGCACTAGATGATCCGGGTTCTATTTGAGTCTACAGTCGCTCCATTATGACTTCATGCTCCACTAAGCAACTCTGACAGGAATGAACGGGGCCCCGTGTACGCTTTATTCAACCCTCTTTATACAGCCATGTTCTGAACCTGTTTGTCCTGGTATGGAGGTTCTTGTAGTGCCTTCCAGAGGCAGGAGAGCAAACCGTCTGTAGGGGGTTAGAGACAATGCTGTACACCCCCCGCAGACACCACGTGTGCTGGACCGATGATGCGTTGGTCAGTGTTTTTCTGTCTGATGCGGTGCGATGCTATACAAGACTGTGATCCAGTTTGTGAATGTGCTCTCAATGGAGCAGTGGTAGAAGTTCACTGAGGATACAGATGGGCTTTTCTTCTCAGGAAGAAAAGACGCTGGGGAAACTTCTTAACTAGGATCGAGGTGTCAAGCGTCCAAGAGAGGTCCTCAGGGATGTGGACACACTGAAACTTAAAGCTGGAGACACGTTTAAACTCTGTCCCCTTTATGCTGATGGGTGTGTGTGCTGCCTTTGGAGTTCTGCAACATAAAAACATCTTCATCTGCTCTTCAACAAACCTGCCATTGAGAAGCGTTTGATCACGGGTTCACAGCGAGCAGGGAAGAGTTTATATGAAATGTTTTTGCACTCCGTGAACAACGGGTCACAAGGCTTCCTGTTTGAGTCTCTTAACCCCAGAGTGGAGAAACGTGACAGCAGTGAAGGGGAGGGTTAACCTGCCTCTGCCTCTGCCCCCCCCCAATGATTATGTGAACCGGATCTACAGGTGGAGGAGGACTGTGATTCGCCTCAAACTCAGCAGAATCACTCCTTGACTCCTCGGGCCCCGGCTCGCCTCTCCACGGCCCAATTTGAAGAAGTTCATGACACACACTTCCCCCACAGCGCGGGGCCGCTCCAATTATGCTCCTGATCCCCGCTCCTCTCCTTGTGTCATTTCATTTCCATGCTAAAGTGCTGGCCAGTTTGATCCCTAGTTAAACAGAAGTGGCCATTTACCGGCGGCTTAGTGCGCAGAGTAAATGTCAGCAGAGATAAAGGGCGCTCAGCGCAGCCAATCACTGAAGAGCTCCCCTGCTGTTGGATAAATATATTATTATTTTATCGGTAATTATAGTGATGCTGGGGGGGAAGTTTTATTTAAGAGGGAAAAGTCCATTTTAATGTCATCTGAGTGAAGTTGCTACACAAAGTTAAACAATTTTACAATTGGTATGACTGGCTGCTACTTTAATACTTGTATGTGTTCACTTACAATGCTGCTTCTTTTTTTTTGTTTACCATTAATATGTATCATTTTTTTTGCTATTAATTCAATATACCCTTTATTATGATGTGCCTTTTATCTGCACTCTACCTTTGCTTTACTTCTGTAAATGTCCCCGCTGTGGGACGGATAAAGGATTTCTGGTATAACTTAATAATTCAATTAAAAGTTCAAAAGTTAAAAGAGGAAGAGTTTAATTGGAAGACCCTCCCACCTTTGTGTCAAACAGAAAGCAGGACGAGTCAAAAGACCACCCAAAGCCAAGGCTGTCCCCGCAGAGGTGGAGGACGATGAAGAGGAGATGAAGGCTAAACCAGTGCCCGCTCGCTACATAAGAGGACCGCCCCTCACTAAACCTCAGGCTCAATCACCGGTAAGGTCTGAAACGTCACCGGTTATTGAAAACCTCTAATGATAGCTTTAGTTTTGTACAGCATCATAATGTATTGTATACACATTCACACCACTTTTACAAGTGTAATTACAATAACTGTAAATAAAAGCTAATGTTAGGCTATATACACATTACAATGCGTATCACCACCGCTAAGCTTAAGTGGTCAAATGTTAACTCATTTCCAGTATAAGGACTCATTCCCGCACCACTCTTTCTCGTCCATTGAAATAGTCCTGGGAGCAGGTTTGTACAAATTATCTCGGAATTGAATGCCTCAAGAAAATGTATCAAACCAAGACTCAATCTTAAACACGTCTCACAGAACACTGAGAATAAAGAGTGCTTGCATTGAAGTGAAAAACTCAATTTTCACTTTCTCAATGGTATGGTCCAAATACAGATCATATGTTGATAATGGAATCATCTGTGGCTAGGGTCAACAGGAAGTGGCAAAGTCTTTCTTTCAATAACGCTTTCAACAGACTCATGATGTTTTGAATGCTAAAGCAGAATGAGAATGATTTAACAATATTTTCTTTTCTTAAATCCGGACACATACCATTGCACTCCAAAATAATCCAATCAAACATTTATGAGTCAATTAATAAATAAGAGCTATGTTTTGCTGTTTCTCCTAGAAGGATGTTGAAGATGTGCCTGCTGTCAGCAGATCATTGAGGACAAGAGGTGCTGTGACTTATATGGAAGATGACAGCGAATCTGAGGAGGATGAAGAGGAGGATGAAGAGGAGGAGGAAGAGGCCAGTTCCAGACCCCAACCCATCGCTGCATGCTATCTGAGAGGCCCCCCTATCAGCCCCGGAGCTCAGTCCAAACAGGTGTGAAGACGGGAAGCTCCAGCAGTCAGTGTTTTTGATTAGCTGTGAAGTTTATTTGTACAAGTTAAATAAAACAAATAATTATTAGTTTAGATGTTTTGAAGAAAAAAGTTTACACCTATATAAAAAGCCAACACTTTAATCTTTAACAGAAATATACGGGCAGAAAAACAGACGGCTTTTCCGCGATGGAGAGAAAGAAACGACAACTCCTAACTCACAGGAGGAAACACTGTGAAGCACAGGGGGAGAGATGGGAGGGAGGGCGGCCCACCCATGAGTGTGTGAGCCAGGGGTGGGCCGCTCTAAAACTCCAGGAGAAGGACCGTTACCCGTCTCAGATTCAGGGGTACGAACACACACATAACTCTGAACAGGAAGCTACTCCCACGCGCAGGAACGGATGGTTCTCCATGTTCTTTTTCGCCGGCGTCTTCTTCTTCCTGGGTGCTGCTCTTGGTGCTTGCCAACGTGAATTCAAACCTTTTTGAAAAACATTAAAGGGATCTACCAGTCTTTCATCACTGGAACACACTCCTTAGGACTTCTGGGCGGCCAATTTCACCGTAATAGGCTGAAACAGAAGGAGAAGCTTATTGAAAGTGGTACGAGAGATGGCTTTGTGAACAAATGAAGTGGGCTCTTGTGTCTAACTGGACTGTAGATGAAGGATTCCCAAACAAAGTCATAAAACTGCCTCTGATTAAATGATAGATATGGAGTATCAAACACTTAACTTTGTGCATCACACGAGGAGCAGCATGAGAAAAACTGAATACAGTGTACAGAGAGAAGGCTATGTAAAGATTTGTGCTAATTAAGTAAGATGAATGTGTTCTATTGAGGCTGCAGTGAAGGTCTCTCTCTCTCTCTCTCTCTCTCTCTCTCTCTCTCTCTCTCTCTCTCTCTCTCTCTCTCTCTCTCTCTCACACACACCTTGCTGCAGTAAGGACACTCTCCGAACACAATGTTGAAGCTCTGCCTGCTGGAGGAGAGCGCTCGCAGCCACTGGAGGAGAGAAGAAGAAAAGACACTTTGGATCCGATATGTCAAGTGATAATAACCCCTTGTTTCAATGTACACTTATTACTGCACACTTTTCAAGATAAGCATTTTAAGGGCTTTTATGTGGAACTTAAGGCATTTCTCCCTTACACTAAGCTTAGTAAGCTCTAAAGAAACGTCTGTATGCTGCGTCTAAGTGAATAGAGTGGTGCAGGAGCTACACCTGGAAATGAGTTAGCACTCCCAAGTTTACATGTCTTGATTGGGTTTTTATTGTTGGGCTTTGGTTACATTGCATAATTAAGATCTGTGGTTAGTACATTTTTGTTCTACGTTAGCATTTTTAAATCTGGTTATCGTATTTATGTTTATAAAAGCTGTGTTAATATGTGGAGATTATCCTTATTGAAGATGTTTGTTTGCCACAGATTGTATTTTTTTAAATCCCCATTGATTTTGGTGAAGGGAACCAGGAAGATGCTAACTTTAGGGTCACTGCACCACTCTATACACAGTATTTCAACAAAGTAGTCCCTGCTCAGGCAGTTGGAGCTCATTTCCTGTGTCCTCAGCAGTGCTCCACCTTTAATAATCCTTCTCCTTACCTCTGAGTGCCGAGCTGAAAAAAACGGTGCTATCGGTATCAGAGATAACAATACAGTTTTTAAAACACTTAAAAGATTTGTAGCAAACCTGAGAAGGACCAATGCTGTGACAGAAATCTTCCACCTGGCTCACTTTAACATTATGGGCTCTTAATGAAATTATCTGTGGTTGTATTAAGGCTGAAAAGCACAACTATTGAATGTATTATCAGTATTGTATAATTTTTCCAGAATACAAACACATCTTGTTGCAATTGAACAATTTTCTTTTTTTTCACAACTATTGGATCAAATAAAAAAAATTTCACAAATGAGTTTGGGTTATGTCCAATCATTGCATAAAATATTATGGAATTATGTTTTTCTCTAATTAACACTCTTTGAACTAATTTTTTACATTATTATGACTCTGGAATATTCCCAACTTCCTTTTCTATGACCATTTTTTTTTTTTTTTGACATACGCGTATGTCATGTTTTATTAAAATCTTTTTCGAGATACTACACTGACTTTTTTTCAACATTATATACAATGAATTTTTCCTGATCTTTTTTTAATGAAATACAATTAAAAAAAATTGTACTTTTTTATGCTATGACTTTTTACATATTCTTTTTTTACATACCATACCAGTGAATGTCAGAATATATCCGCTGCTGCTGCTTGGACGTTTTCACTATTCTATTCTGAGTCCCCAAACGTCATGGAGGGGAATATCACTGGAATTCATATTTTTGTAATCTTAATTATCCATAAAGCCTGTGTTACTTTATCATTCTCAACTGAAACATTAAGAATGACACCTGTCTATTCACTTACATAACCTTCAGTTTTTTAGAACGATGAACTATGTAATCTCTAGATGCTCCTCACAGCCGTGTGTGTGTCTCCATACCTCGTAAAGACAGGCCTGGTGAAATGGCTGGCCGCAGCGAGGGTCATTGCACACCTGATCAGGGATCGCATCTTCAAGACGATAGGAGTAACAGATCCCACACTCCACACTGAAGCTCTACACACACACACATTAATAAATACACAGCGTGATTTCTCACATACACGATGCTTAAGATATGGGCAGGTCCTCTGTAACCACTTAGTGTTAAACAAGCGTCTAGTTAAAACTGCAGTGCTAACATCACCCTGTAACACCCCGAATCCCCCCCCTCACACACACACACTTTTCTCTCCGCCTCGTTTGCATTTTGGCATAATGAGAAGCTCCTGTTTTTCTGGAGCTATCCATTAAGAGAGGATGGCAGGTATAAAAAATAAATCAACATCTGGTCAACCCAACTTTTTTGCACTCCTCTGAATGTTAATGAAGCCGAAGCATTAATCACCGCGGCGACAGCAGATAAACACGGCGCCCTTTAAACCCCTTCCACGTGGAGGGGAGGGGGGGAGCCCGAGCCTCAGAAACAGAGAGATAAATGCTTTTTGCGTGATTAAAGTGATTTGATAGTGCAGAGAATTCTGCCATCTTTGTTATTCTAATGATCTTTTCTGTAAACAACCCAATTAAAGGAGAATTTGTGCCCACCTCATGGAACAACAACACAGAGAGAAAAAATATGGAAATGAACAGAAAAATAGGCAGTATCGTATGTCCACCCCCTTATAACTCGGAGCTCAAACCGACGCACAAACTGGAGGATACACACACACATAAACACACTCGCTTGAAGGTAATCGTGATGGGAACGGACATGTTTGAAATGGAAAGGGGGCAACTGTGTCACGTACAGATTTTTCGTGGGTGGCAGGTGACGGGAATTCGATCTCCAAAACATCCCGGAGGTTGTGCAAGACGCTGGAGTCCGGGTTCCTGCCAGAGACCACAGACAGCTCCTTCACACACTAATTAACCACATGCAAATGAGCCTGCAAAGACACTGGGGGATGATTAGGAGACTTTCACCATTGGTATTAAAAAAAAAAGCTAAAGCTGATTCAAACTGAACAGCAGTGGAGGAGATTTTCCTCAGACGTGTCATGCAGAGAGGCAAATGTTAAATCCTGTGGTGAGAGTTAAGATATGTGCTTTACTTTAAACTGAAGAGTAGCTGTGTGGGTCTTTTCGATGATAATCATAGTGGTGGGACTTTAGTATTTCGCAATTCTAGAAATGTAGTCAATACCAATAATATTCCAGGATGCTTAACTCTGGAATAGATTAAAAAACTGTAAAAAACAACATTGAAAATTATCGAGTACTTTGCGGTACTCTTATTTTTAACATTGGCATACTGTTTTTTGTTGTTAAAAAGGTAATAAATTCCTCTTTAATATCTATTTTATAATGATTTTACAATATTACTTTTGGACACAACATGATAACTTAAAATGTACCCATGCCCAATGCTCACATTGACTGAATAGGGCTTTACCATATCATAACGTAACTCGATAGAACCTTGATTGTTCACGTTAGCATAGCATTTAAGCGACTTTGAGACTTGAAAAGTGCTATATAAATTCAAATGATTATTATTATTATTATTTAGCTCCATTATTTAGCCAAGCAGTACTGTGCTACCCACCGGCTACAACCATGCTTTCCTCTTGCCCATTTAAGCACAGTTTTTGTTCACCATGGAGCAAGACCAGGAATAAAAATAGATGCTCTATTGTCCTTGGGAACACAAACAACGTAGTCCCACAGTACCCTTAGATATGAAGGACTCAAAGAGAACAGCAGCATTTTCTGTTTTTCTGAAGTGGATCCTCAACGTATTTGTTTGGTACAGATTCTCTTTGAGAAACACGCCATGTTCCCTTTAAAGGGGCACTATTATTCAAAACTCCAGGTTCATATTCTCTATTTAGTGCCTCTACTGTGACATGTCTCTTTCTTTAATGTTCAAAAAGCTCTTTATTTTTCTCATACTGCCTGTGCTGCAGCACCTCTTTTCACCCTCTGTCTGAAACCAGTCTGCTCTGATTGGTTAGCTGGCCGACTCTGTTGTGATTGGTCAACCTCTTAGAGATGTCCCGCCCCTTAGCTTATCAAGTACAATGTGTTCTAGCCACAAGAAGCGTGAGTGTTACATAGTGATGTCATTATGTTCCTGAAGTAAACAAAGGAGTCCAATGGGGAGTGTGTGGGAGAAAAACTCCCTCTGGAGGGAACACAGGGATTTTAGCCTTTGCAGACCATTTAAATACACAAAAACCTATATAACACACTACAGGAAAGGGAAATATATTTTCAATCAAAATGAGAATAACTATGCAAAAGTAATCACTTCCTTATATATCTTAAACCCAATAAAACCGAGCAAAAGCAAAAGTCTGAATCGTACAGGTTTAGTAAATAATAATGTGATCATTGCATTATCTAGCAAAAGTTATTCTGAAAGACAATAAATCTAATTAATTGAATGATATAAAACGTAGTACAACATGCTTGTGAAGACAGAACCCTTACCACAGGTGCATGTTGGCGTTCAGCTTGTTCCTCAGCGGAGTCACCACTGCAACAAGGAGAAGGGATTTATTTGGTGTAGAGTGTAAACGGTAATACTAATAAAAGCCTTGAAATTTGATTTCAAGCACCTGCGGATTCCGTTTTTATTGTATATAAGCCCTCCGAAAATTACGACTGCCTTAAAAAAACCTCACTCTGCATACTCTGGCCCTCTGTTATTAGAGAACAGGCCGTCAGCGCTGTCACATCTGAACCATCGCCGTGGCTCTGTTCCACGGGGAGCTTTGTCTCCGTGCAGCACTCATCACTTTCACTATTTGCTATTCCTACATGCAAAAAGCAATATTGTGCGCGACCCCTCGTATTTGAGGGTCTCCGCCTGCCTCCCGTCTTGCCGGCTGAAGTGTGTATCTGTTTAATATCTTTTGAGTTGCATTGCTAGGCAACAGGCTAGGAGTTGTGTGACCTTGGGTTTACAGAAACAATGGACGACAATTGACGGGGACTTAAATAGAAAGCCGGAGCTCGCAGGCTGACTCCGGTGTCGGCGTGGCGGGAATGAAAACATTGTGGCAAAGTCTTCTGACACGACGACAGACAACAGGCAACATGAGTAGTCTGGTTGGAGCCCAGACCATCTGATCTGGATAATGGCGAGCTGAATCTGCACTTTATTGCCTGGGATGATCCTAAGGTGGCCAATTATTTTATAAAAACAGGCATCTGATGAAGAGTCTCAGGACACAGTTATTCCCATTAGTTGTTTAGGAATTAATCAATCAAATGATTAGTGTATGATTTAGATTATTGTTTAACTTGCCAAAACAAGCAACTACCTAAATGTGAGAATTTGCTGCTTCTGGGGTTTTTGTAAAATGTAATGTAGATAAAACATTTGGGGGTAATTAAGGTAGATTAAAGAGGACATATTATGCAAACATGTTTACATTATTTTTAAGAGATGTGTCGGAAATGTCCCGCCTCTTAGCATAACATCTACAATGTGTTGGAGCACTAGCCAAGAGAACATAGTGATGTCATTATGTTCTGGAAGTAAACAAAGGAGTCCAATGGAGGCCTTTCAGGCAGGGTGGGAGGGGGTGTGTGGGAGAGAACACAGAGATTTTAGCCTTTGCAGACCATTTACATGCACACAAATGGAAAGGGAAAAACCCCAAAAAGCAGAATAGGCCCCTTTAACAAATTGTCATGATTGCAAGTGACTCATTTACACAAAAAGGGACAAAAATGCCCCTGTCAGTTAGAAAATCCTAGTTGTCAATATACTTTTTTAGTGTTAATAACAAATGAAGGCAACACTTTCCAAATTACTTTGATAGATTTCCAGGAATCACACGTTTTTTTTTCTAATGTGTCATTTGATATATATATATATTAAAAAAAATTAAATAAATAAATATACATTTGGTGTAATCTGTATGTGTCACATGAAAGGACTTTAGTAAACAATGTATTCCTAAACCTCATGCTACCTGTGTTATAACAAGGAGAGGATTTCACACGCCCTAATGAAGTGTGTCAGTTTGAGTGTGTAATAGTGCAGATACACTTCTTGTGCCGGAAAACAAACTTTCAAGTGTGGCCATGTCTCTGGGGTTTGACTACCCACCATGCTCGGCTCCCAGCAGGCAGCACTCTGGCAGCATCTTTGGGTGTCTGGGATCCACCTCCACCTTGATGGATGTGTTGTTTCCTGCACACAGACGGGATGTATCATTTACATGAACTGTATACATGATCAGTATGAAAACTCAGTTAAACATAAAGTGTACCGATGGCGATCCGCCTCATGGTGTCGGAGCGGCTGGGTTTCTCCGGCTCCAGAATCCAGGTCTTACTGTCAATCTCATCCAGGACATCCCAGAACTCAGTCAGGGACTCCAAGAGCAGCAGGAACTGACTGTGGAGCTGCTCCAGAGTGCTCTTAATGAACAAAAGATCAGAAAAAGCACATTTATTTTTAAGAGAAACCAGATGTATCCTAAAGCTTCGGTTAGACTACTGGTTCTTTATTGTTACCGAACAAAACCGTGTCCAAACAGCAGATGTAATTTCTGGAAGCAAGGGGAACAGTTAGATATAAAGCTGAATAATTAACATGCTTTTTCTTGTTTGAAGAAAAAACCTTTAAAAGGCCTGAGTCCGCATAGCGGCTGTTTCTGAGTGGTGGCGTCTTTTTTGAATTTGTTTGTTGGAGCAAAGGCGGTGGACCCTGGATGTTGTTGATACTTTGCATGAAATGCTGTGTTATACAATGTAGTTGTAAGTAACCTAATATTTTCAATTTTGTATCTGTTAAGAGTAGAATGTATGTGAACTAGTTTGAAAAAAACAAGGCCAACTAAGTGCAGAGACGAGTGAATGAGAGCACCACTATTAGAACATGCCCAAAAGGGTATATCAAAGAGGTTGGTCCTTCACCAAGGTAAACTGACGAGAATTAAGAGTGCTTTAGCTATAAATATGTTTATAAAACTGTTGCTTAGCAGTATGATCTCAGGGTCTGCTTGGACTGTTTAGTGTTGTTGGTGAAATTAAGTTATTCTGCATTGTACTCTGACAGCCTCCAGCAATTCGTCCGAGCCTGTTAGAACTCCACACAATGCAAAATAAGTGTAGAACTTTAAGGGTTAAGGAGGAAGTTCTTCAAACGGCCCAGTCCAGGACTCTTTCTTCTGATAGTTGCTGCCTGTAGGAGTTGCTGCCACGTAAACATTATCCTCCTCGCTCTAAAGCTGTCGGACTGCACAGTGAAGCTCATTCAAACAAACTTCTGGTTGGTGTTCATGGTGAAACATTTTCAAACAAATATATAGCATAAATAATAATAATCTAGAGGCGAAGCTAGTCTGTCATACAGAAGCTGTGATACGCTGTCAAGATACCGTAGATAAAACGCTGATTTGAGGCTCAGCCTGAAAAGGATGCTGTGTGGACACACAGCTTAAGACTGTACTCTAAGTAAAATGCTAACATTAGCACACTAACATGCTCTGAATGACAATGATAACACGTTGATGCTAAACAGGCATAACGTTTTCCACTTTCCCCATCTTTCATTAAAATATTAACATGCTTCTGCTAATCAGAACTGCACACAAAGAACTGTACAGCTGAGGCTGATGGGAATGTCTGTAGTTTGTTGCAGGTGTATGTGAATGGTTGTCCTAATTTCCATTGATTGTCTGGTAGTAAACTAAGCACTTGTAGTCATTCGACTTTGGATTGGTCAGACAAAACAAGTAACTTAAAGGTGACCTATCATGCAAAATGCACTTTTGTACGTCTTTTCTACATGAATATGTGTCCCCGGTGTTCCAGGGAACTCACCAAGTGTCAGAAAACACAACCGTCTCTATTTTCCTCCATACCCAAATCTCTTAAAAAGGGGCTGCAACCGATCTGATACAGACTGATCCAGATTTGAACACTTCTGTGACGTCACAGAAGTGACGCTACGGCTATTGGGCCAACTCCACCAATCAGGAGGAGACAGCCACGGACATTGCCGTTCGAAAGCGCTGGAGACGCTGTAGTACATATGCCAGGCCTGTAGATGGTGCTGTTCTCACAGAATCAGCCCATGCAAAGACAGTGTTAAATTGAGCGAAATGAGGAATGGATAAAATGCATGATCTGTTTGGTATTTTGAAAAATAAAAAGTATAAATATGCCTTATATAGGTATGGTCCTACATTATATTATTCAAATATAGCATGATAGGTCCACTTTAAATAAGTCAACACTTAAAAACTATAAAAATACTACAGGGAAACTGGAGTGAACTGAAAGTGCATATATCAATTGGCAGGTTGGTTAAAACGGTAACAACTTAAAGCACACAAACATTGTGACACACACACACACCTACATACACACTCTCACACTTAGAGGAGAGAAAGGGAGGCTGATAGAGGTGTCAGAGACCAATACAGATGGAATGAGAGAGAAAAAATTAGTGGGTAAAATGAACCAAAAATTATGGGTCATTGTGCCAGCACAGTGCACACAATTAAGCATCGTCCAGGTGCTGAGAGCCTCGGCAATTACAGCCCAATTAATGCCAGTGGCATGATTACGGTTACAGCTCAGGATAACTATGCTCGGCCCAGTTCAGAAAGAAGAAAAAAAAAAGAGCTGGTAATTGAATTCCTGCTGCATCTTTGAGAACAACATGTGAGAGCAGAAAGCTGTAAGAAAGTATGAAAGACACTGAATCTGAGGTGAGATCTGATCCTCGATCAGTACTCTTTATCTATGTATGCCATCTCTGGCTGACCTTAATTTCGCTTAAAAAGGTAGGCAGGCTTCCCTCTTATTTACATCATCGACATTGAACTATAGAATGGAATTTATTTATAGAATACCCATGGGTTTTAAATCACAAGACCTAATCTGGCAATTTCGTAGTAGATCACTAATCAACTCTAAAGCGGCATTCAAATTATACACAATTTGCCCTTTGTTCACCACGAGTCAACAGCTAGTTAGGTTGTGTTTCCATGATGACATACCCTTCTAGCTTATGGCCCTTCTTTGGGCTGTTACCTGATTGGTACCGCGTTGAAAGGTGAGCAGCACAAAGCCAGAGTTCAAATAATTGTAACTTTTACTGCAGCGTTCTGCAACAATTTCAAGCAGTGATCAACAGCAAAGGTAGCACTTCCGCCAAGTCGGGCGGCAACACTCAGAAACACAACGGCAACGCGTATCGTGTGAATACAGCATTATAGTATGTCAGTAAATGCAGAAGCGTAACACCTTTGGCTCGCCTTTTTAAATGTTTTAGTGTAAATAAAGTGAAATGCTAATGTACGGCTATGAAGGAAGTAACTAACAGTCAATGACTTCACTTCACCACCGCTAAGCTAAAGGTGGCTAATGTTCGGCATGATGACGTTTAATTGTCTTATTTAGTCACATGATAGCAAAAGCATAACAATCATAAAAGCTTCAGAGATTCACCTATGGGGTATTCGCTGACTCTTTCCAAATTGTTGTACTAATGGCCAGTGCTTATACAATTGATTGAATAATTCAATTAAAAAACAATAAGTAATGACAAATTAGATCATTATTCAGTCAAACTATTACTAACCATAACTAATTCTAACTAGTTACAGCTTTACAAATGTAATCACACAAACTAAAGTACAATAGCATCCCATGATCACCAAAGAAAATGGTTTTAAGCTCTTGAATGGCTTTTTCATAACTGAGGTAACAGCTGTGATTTAAAAAAATAATTCAAATGTATTGTGAAAAAAAATATAGAATAATCTATATATTTAAACAAACAGGCAGGACTATGAGTCAGGCTACAATTTGCACTTAACTGTAGCCCTGGTGTCCATCCAGCGTCTTATTCACACAGAACCCTGTTTTGATTGTTAAAAACCACCTTGGTGTAGTCTCCCAGCACAAAGGACACAAACTAAACACATAGACAGACAAACACACACACAGGTTTAATTCTCTTCCCATTCAAGTTCCACACAAATGCACTGAGTGGCATGTCTTGGCCCTGCAACAGAGCAGGCAATAATTACTCATTCAAATGAACATGTCAGGACTGCCGACAGACAGGGCTTTCCCCTGCCACACACACACACACAGACAAAAACACACTTGGCGCAGACGCAAGCACATACACACACACTTCATGTTGCAAGGTGGGAGAGATCCATCAACGGCGCAGCAGGCAGACAGACTCCATACGGCAGCGCTGTTCTAAGCTGGTCCTCACTGTACGCCTGACACACACACACACACACACACACACACACACACACACACCTTTGATTTTTGCCTACACTTTCACTCAAAGCACGCACATACTTAAAACACTAGTAAGCCTGTCCACTGAGAGGCCTTGTTATGATATGATGGCCAGAGCGACTGAAAAAATAAAGTGTAGCAACAAAACAAAAAAAGACGTGTGTGTGTGACACAGACTCAGAGGCAGTGACAGAGATGGAAAGCAGAGGCAGAGTGAAAGAAGCGAGACGGCAAACAACAATAATGAGGAAGCAAAGAGATACAAAGAGCCCACAGCAAATCATCAAAACACTTGAATGACAATTACAGTGGACTCAATTTGAGGGGCGAGAATAAGACGTCTTATTACAGAAGAGAAGTGTTTTGTCCAATCATGCACCAGGATGAGTCAAGTGTATTGATGTGGCTCTTAATCACAGTTTGAGCTCACATTACAACTATTGGATGGAAACATCAACCTTTTCCTAATGCGAGGCTCGGAGGATCATTGAGGACGGGTTGGCTGACTATTTATAAGTAATAAAGTGTTGCAGTAAGTCCTTAAACGCAGAAATAACTTTGCTTTTTATCATGTCTGGTTCCCTTGTCTCAGTTATCATGTTTTTTTATGTGTAAGTAACTTAGCCTGATGTAAACAGCACAATATTTGAAATGTAATGGAGTAGGAGTATAAGTAGCACAAAATACATATGCTAAAGTACAAGTTGGTCAAAATAGTACTTGAGTACAGAACTTAGTTATCTTCAACACTGCTTGCTAACCATTTACTTTGTCAAACAAATTGAGGGATGGATAAATAGTTACTGTTGACACTGTATCATTGCACATGCACATACCTGTGGTGTCCATGTCATGGCCAGAGGCACTGGCAGGTCAGCAGAGCATTCAGGAGCCTCCACAGGGTGCTAAGGGTGGAGAAGAAAGGACCGTTAGAGCTGCTTCTGTATTACGTAACAATGAGAGGTCACTCCACCGCTCCTTGTTGCTGTACTGTATGTCTGGCCTTTATGAGAAGCCTTCCTTAGTTTGTTCTTGGTTATTACTTGAAGACTGTCTAGTATTTACTATTAGTGCTAGTCATCTTTATTATGTTACTTAAACCTACTTATATCTTTATGGAAGTTCAATATCATTTATTTCAGAAACTCTTTTTGTTATATTCCATGGAATGCTCTTCACATCCCGATAGCAATGAATATCTTTAGTGCTTTGACAATAAATCCATAAAAAAATGTCATCTGTGGAAGCCGTAGCGCTGTAAAAAGCACATCCAATCATTTTAGCCGGCCCGGCTAAAATAACTGGATGGCCTATGCCTGTCAGCCTTCCATCTGTGCGCAAACTTATCTCGTGCCCTCATTGGTCATGTACGCATTCGTGTGTGTTGGAGGAGGGGCTCTGTAAGGAAGTGGCAGATTTTCTCTGGTTGTATATTTTCAAATTCTAGCGCACTCGAGCCGGTTTCACAAATTTACCTACCCCACCTTTAATCTTAATGAAAAAGGGAATTCATTTTTCAAATCATGTGTGGCTTACTGGTGTAAAAATAAATAAAACTATAGTGTTTGTTTTCGTGAACCAAAATATTGATTTCTATGTGATGTGGCATACATTTCTCTGGAGGCTCTCTTTGTTTTTATCAAAAATGATGTATAGTTTAATAAATTCTGCTATTTTTTAAATTATATTAACTTGTGTACTAACAACTTGCAGTTTTACTTGAATATGTGTTCTTTTGGTCCTTGACTATGAAAGGACTATACTGGCATTAAAGGCAAAATAAACGCCTGTTTCAATATAAAACATTGGTCAGAGCTTTCAGGATGTTTTCAACATTTCTTAAACTGGACTCTTTTTTTAAAACTCCCACTGCTTTCTCCCTCACACTTTCTATTAAAGCAGGTTGTATTTCTTGTCACGCATTTAATGCGGCAGCCCCACAACCTGCTTCTAATGTTGCTTTGAGAAACGTCCTTCTCCGCTTTCTCTGGTTGTATTCTTCGTGTAACCGTTAAACCCTTTTCCATTCAGTTTACGCCCTTGCTTATTCAACACTTCTTTACCGAGTGCGACACGTTTTAGCCGAGAAGCTAACAGAGCTTTTATTTTGGTAATCTTCTACCGGAAGACACTCTTCTTCTCTCTCGAGGAGACTTGACACTGCTCTGGCTAGCCAACATGGCCGTCATGCATGCATTGCATCCTTGATACCGACGCAGTGCACGGCTAATAAGCAGCAGAGAAAACCGAGACCGGATTGTTTAAATTCTTCGTCACCTTTTTCCACCCACGCCTGACCGGGATAGCCTCCAGCGGCAGTGTCATTTTCTGTCTTCCCCGGGGGTTCCCCTTCAAGGCCGGTCGTAATGCTGTCCGAAGGCAACAAAAACGGGTAAGAGTGAGGCAGAGGGCGACTCGAGGCTTTAGTACCTTTACCTCCTGAATACAGAAAACGATGGGGTTACATTAGCCGGTGTTAGCATGTCGCGATCTTCCGGGATCACGGCTGTACTTTGCGATGCTGATTAGCCTAGCAGCGCCTTCCTGCTGGTTACATATCAAGTCATCAGTTCATATTGGCCTGGTTATGAGTGTGCATGTTCGCCCATGTGAGGAGCACCGGGGGTGGGACCACCGGTAACAGCCTTTTGTTGAATGAAAGCGAAGGGATTTTTTTTTTCTGGGTAGGGTAGGGGGTCTCCTTTCTCTACCTAAAATAGCTTCACATTGGAAAAGCACATTGATTAATAAATAACGGGCTCAGATTTCATAGTGTAGTGACGAGAGGCATGCGGACTGTGATTTCTCCACCTGCTGTTTTCTTGACCTCAACATGGTGGTAGCTCATGGTATTTTTTGATAATTTCAGAATATGTATTTTCTTTAATGATGATTTTGTTGTCAAATAAGAATCATTTATGGGCCACAATATACATGCACCTTGTTGTTTAGCCCACGTGATATTTTTTATTTTTGGGTTTGTGTGGCTGTAGCTGTTAATGATCTAACTGTTGTCAAGGGAGATCATTAAAGTAGACATCTGTTAACTGTACAGTGAGTGTGAATGGACCCTTATGGTGTGATAATAATTCTCCCAGCTGGCACCAGCATTCACAGTCCAGTCCCCTGGGAGTCTGTTTTGTGACAAGTCAGCTTTATGAAACCAGTTTGTTGCAGACATGATTTGAGTATTTCTGTTGCAGTACCATACATATTAATGTGTGCGTCGGGTCGTACCTCACCTAACGTCAGGTTTTGTCAGGTTTTTGGGAAGTTAAACCAGAAGCAGTGCCTTTTTAAATTTGTGATCCATTGTGATATTGTTCCTCAGGATCAGGCTGTACTTTCGACATGCTTCCTTATTCCAGTCTAATCATATGAATACAAAAGGCCTAAAAGGGGGGTTTATTTTAAACAAAAAAGACAAGCAGAGTCACTCCTCCTTTCTTCTAGAGATCTTTTCATCACGGCAGCAGACTGGCCTTTTCTGCTCTCCTGATCCCGAGGGATTGTATTTCTAGTTGACATCTGTCTCCCTTTATGGCCTGGTGCAGGTGTGTCTGGCCTTGCCCCAGAGACACACACACACACACACACACACACACACACACACACACACACACACACACACTGGCATCCACACCTCTTAGGGCAAATAAGGGGGATCCAGCATGGCGAGGAGGATGGGGAAAATACACTATCCCTACCAAAAATGTGTTTGTCTGATACACAAAATATAATAATGACTTCCTTTTTATGTGAAACTATGAAATTCAAAGCATCATGTAACAAATCAAACAACAGATAAAGAGAAGGATGCTGGAGGACGCAATCATCCCACCTACAGGGTGCTGCCACGGTTTCTGTGTCATCACATGGAGGTTGATGGTGTAGCTAAAAATATAATGATGACTTCCACTTGTTTTTCTCCCTTAGATAGCAGCGATAAAATCACTTGAGGAAGCGTTTGGCTGTGTGAGGTCTGACTCATAGTGACTACATAGCATAGATGACTTGTATTGGCAGAGTCGTTTCATTAATGACCCAGCAGGGATCAGATGAAGCCCACACACACTGGAGTCGGCTGTGAGTGTTTATCTTGGACCTTGAGGAGTGTTTGGGACCCTGGGTGTCAGTTAACTGGGGAGTTATTCATAGCAGGAGTTACCCAGATCACTGTTACTCTTCCTCTGACTCTCCTCAGTGTTTTCCCCTGTCTGGTCCTACTCATCATTTCGCCTCCTCTCACACTCGCCCTTTCAGGTTGGCCGGTCACTAGAGCTCAGCTTCACGGCAGTCTTTCTTGTCTATGTGGATTTTCTTCCATTAGAGCAACCGTGTTTATTTTTAACTTGTCATCTGCTGACGTTTCTTTGATTGTTGTTTTCTTTTAAATGTCAAATATTGCTAGAAATTGCCCCACACTACAAGGCCCTAATCCTAAAGATCATATTGCTTTTTGTGACTGGCCAACATGTTAGAATTTATAATCATTAAACAGAGTGAAATTCGGCTATTTGAGGTATTCTTTGCTTGAAAAAGGACTTAAATAACCACCAAAATAATTGATTATTACCAAAAAATACAGGCTTTTTTGATACCACAGCACAAGGAAAGCATTGTTTGCGCTTTTCTCCCTCCTCCTCACCCCAACCGCCTCCTCTTCCTGCAGGGAGGTGTCGGAGCCCAGCGCGGCCGCCGTGACGGAGGTGCAGCCGGACCCCGAGAGCTCCATGACTCAGCAGCCGCCCTCCGGGGCCGAGGCGGAGAGCAGCGAGGGCCACCTGGAGGAGGTAAGGCCACTCAGAGGGGGGGGGGGGGTACCCGGGTCTCCACTCTGTCTCCCACTAACCTGCATCTTCATTCATATAAAAGCATGTGTAGTTGGCAGCATAAGCCAAGAGGGGACGCTTGAAACCAATACAACCCCAATGTTTTTAAAACCACTAATTCCTTGGAGTTTTTATCCTCCCGATTCTGGCCCTTTATACACTTTCTGCATCTTTTTAACCTCTTGAATGGCTTTAAGATTACTCACTTTAAGGTTTTTCCAAATGCTCATATGTGAACAAACAGGGGTTGAGTTGGAGTTGGGTCCTGGGGTAAATAGAAATGAACTCACCCCCCTCCATTTTGGTTAAATGCAACTAACATATCATAACTTAGATGATCTCTCACACACTTGCCTTGTCTGTCTGGAGAGGGATGGTTAGTGTTGATGTCGCTGGAATGCAAGAGGTGGTCAAATTAAACATCTCGCTGCAGAAAAAGCATGCTTCCTTCAGTCTGTATGTGTTGTAGAGGGAGGAAGTGAGTTAGAAAAGCATTAAACTCAAAGCCCTGACACACGAAGCCGTTTAGCGATCGATGTTTAGAATCTGTGGTCAAACATTGAGCCTGTGTTGTATCTGGAAATGTTTGCACTACTCGGCTCTAATATAGGGCTTTCACACCAACGCTCCGTGCTAGAGCTTTTCTGGTTCGGAACCGGTTTTTCTTTTCAGCCCCCACTTTGTTCACGCCGCTCAGAGCCCGACTGGTGCTGCCGCGTCATGACGTCACCGTTTACGTCGCTGATTTTCTCCCCAATGGCGTTACGGCGCTCACTACAACAATAACAATAGCAATGGGGGACTGCGTCGGGTCCATGATCGTGTTGCTTTTAATCATACGAAGCCAGATTAAATTAAATAAGGACTTCTCCAACCATGTACTTTTCTCCAGAGTGCCGTGGTTCATTAGCCACTTTCACACCAAGTACCTTGCCGCACTTAGTTCCCAGCACTTAGTTCCCAGCACTTAGTGCCAGCACTTGGTACCCCCATGGAACTAAGAGCCGATCGCGTTCACACCAGAATAAGTTCCCTGAGGGAAGATTACGCAAATGAAGCCGCTGACGTCACTTCTTCTGCTTTGGGTTTACTGGCAGGCTGCAAACAACTTCACTGTATATACTGCCACCCGAAGTCCCCTTCTGAGTAAATCGCCAGAACGCCGACACCTCATGACTCCACCGCTCCCATGTTTTTTTTGTGTTTCCATAAGTTATTCTCTCTCCGTTGGTGCGCGGGGCTAATGTTAATGCTAATAATGCTAATGCCAGTTGTTTGGCAACCGAAGCTAAACTGACCATCTTGACTACTTGTTGTTGCTATTCTATTGTGGCATTAACCGTTTTCTACAGGCACATTTTACCGGCGTATTTTTCATTATGATTCTCCTTGTGATAGTCGGACATGTCAACCTGTGCAGCCCATGTATTGATTCCATCCGATAGCTGCTATAATACAAAACAAAATGTCTCCCTGCTCTCCACAATGATCAATAACAGCAAACGGTGTGAACAGGAAAAACCGGTGCTATTCAGGCTCTAGCTCTGAACCGGCCCTGGAACCGTGTTGGTGTGAAAGCCCCAATAGACAGTTCTAGAGAAGAAACCTGAAGTGGTTGTCGGGTTAGCTTTGTATCAATGTAGTCGTATCTAAGATTACATTATCAAAACATACAAGTTAATCTTTACACTTCTAGAAGCTACTGTTGATGTTAGATGTGCCTCTCCTTCTTATGCTTTTTGAAACCAGATTTCCAAAACCATTAAATTACTTCACATTTCAGGCGCGGAGGTCTTGAGTGCCTCATTTACATTTTTGATTTGACTTCCTTATCAGCATGCCTGTTTGTAGGTTTTATTCCCCCCTTGGGTTTGCATGAGTAATGCCCCTGACAGTGTGTGTAGAGATGCATCAGGGCTTGTTTCTGCTGTTCCTTTCACCCTGCTTTCAACTCTGGCTTGCTCCTCTCACACTGCCTCCCTCTTTTTATTCTTCACTCTCCCCTCTTTATCCCCTTACCTTCCATCTTATACCTCTGTATCCCATCATGAACGCTTCTATCTCTCTCTCTCTCACTATATATATTTATGGTGTGATTGCTGTTTAAAACCCCATTGATTGCTTTGTTATGAAGGTGCCCATGCCTCTTCCATTGCCCCTAATGGTACCTGCTGCGTACTACTACTACCACCACCACCACCACCAACACCTCCTCCACACCTCCTACTCCTACAACTCCTGTCCCGCTATGCCCAAGTGCGTCGCTGGCACCTGAATTAGGCCCAGAGTCTGCAACCCCCATGGCACAGAGTAAAGCCTGCACTGTATCTCCACGGAGACGTGCTGAACCAGCAGGAACTGGAGCACCAGACAAGCAGCAGCCATGGTAACTGCCGCAGCACATAGTTGCCATGGTAGCACAGCCTCAGAACCGCACTGGACTGCGCTGCACTGTTCGGCGGTGATGATGAATGATGGTGTCAAACGCTCTATCGCTTTTCCCATCGGCCTTTTTTGAGGATAAACACATCTTCAAAGTGTTGACCTCCATCTGCCACGCCTCCGTCCTTCAGAAGCCAGGTGCAGCTCGGAGAAAACATCTTCAGCTCTCCAGATCTGTTTTTATCCTCCACCTGTAATCCAACACTGCCCTCTGCTTGCGGAGTGGAGTAATGACTTTGGACTGAGAACGCCTGCAGTAACCCACGCAGTGATTAAGGCATGACTGTTAAACTATCCCTGTGAGGGGTTTAAAACTTGACCACACACTGCAACTGAAATAATCTGCTTGGAAATGATGATTTATGGGACTTTTTCCTGGAGAATGTTGTGGATTAGACCACAAAGGATTATTACTCACTCTACTGTTGGTTGAGTTTGTGAGGCTAACAACCATCCTCTGCCTTGACAAGCTGGCCAGCCTTTTAAAAGAGACTTCAATTACTTATCCTGCATGAAATCAGCAATGAAAAGAGAGATGTTACCTGAACTCTTACAGAGACTTTCAAAGGACACGGTGCAAAGGACACTGTGCAAAGGACACTGTGCAAAGGACACGGTGCAAAGGACACTGTGCAAAGGACACGGTGCCTCACAAAGTTATGCAGCAAGTGACTGATCATCCAAATAACAACGAATTAACAAATCATCAACTCCCTTTCTCTGCAGCCCGTTGTCAGGGAACTCAAATGTGACTTCCAGATACGTGACTGCAGTTAATTGTTTCCCAATCGATCTCTTCCCTACACCCAAAACTTGCCCGCTACATCATGTGTGATTTCTGAGTGCTGAGCATCCATGCTAGCAAAGGTACTCAAGATGATGTCCATCGAACGCTCTTATTTTGCTACCTGGATTAAAATGTAACAAAGAGACATTCTTCTGGACTATTTTTACCACTTTTTATTCTACATGTGCTGTCAATGTGCCAAACCCTGCTGCAGCAAAATCTTCTCTATGGAGACCTCATGAGCTGATTAAAACTCAACGGAACTTTCCCCTCACAATGGCTGTATATTAGAGAACATGGACAATGAAAGACTATAAACTCAAGCATCATACAATGGATTTTTTTGTTCCTCCCATATCATGGCTTTAACAAGACATGCCCCCCCTTTTCTCCCCCCCCCCA